TACCCGTTACATTAATTTAATGAATAAAATTTTATTGAACAGTCGATATCTCTGCCAAAATATGAACATATTTTAACAATAAAGTTTTGCTTAATATCGTATTGTCGTTAAAGATTAAAAATTACCAATAAAAATTCGTCTTTATAATTTTAATTACCAAATAATCACTTAACAATATAATTTAATTCTGATGTATAAAATGAATTCTTTGGTTAATTTTATAATGATTTGTTATTTAAAAAATCATTACTCAATGTCTTGTTTATGTTTTATGAGAGTCGTTGATTTTTCGATTAAAAAATTTAGAGAAAGAATCTAACCCGTCACACCGTGACACATAAAAATGGTTTAATAACAAAATGAATAAACAATATAATTATGTATTTAATAGCGACATCTGTAATATCGAAACCGTCCAGTAAATACTTGACATGTTGGTTGTATGATCACTGGCTATTTTGATCGTGGAATGATGTGGAAATACATTCACAATTTTCATAAAATAAATCAAACAATGAACTATTATTATAGTATAAATATAATTAAAATATAACAAACAACAAACAAGTGAAATAGTTAAATAACGTGTGGTTTTAATTAACATCAACAGCAAAAATTTATAATAAAACAACAATAAATTATAATTTATTTTTTCTGAATGTGAAACCATTTTTAATAATTATTATCATATAATTAAACTAGTCGATTAATTATGGATATTTTTATTATAATTTATCATTATTTCAAAAGGGTTAATACACCAGAACCCCAAACAACTCAATTCTTTCATTTCAACAAATTATTTAGATTTAAAATTGGTGTGATTAAATAATCGACCATTTGAAAGCCCCACGCTCGTTAACCGTTTGTTATCATCAAATTGATTTATATTTTATAAATTTATCAATATGATATGTTTATAACGTGTTTTTGTAGTTTGTTTATGTTTATTGTATTGCAATTTGTGTTGTTATAATAATATCGAAGTTGATACATTTATTCGATCTTAATAATTCGAGTTGATATTTTTGTGTGTTTTTATATTATTATTATGTTAAAACATATTGATTTTAATGGTAATTTGAGTTTATTTAATTGGAGTTCAATATCAATATTCACAACATAAATTAACAACTAGCTGAGCAGAAATCAAATTTCATTTTATGGTATCCAAAAGATAGACTATTCATTCAAATTTTCGATGTTTTAATTTATTCGTTTTTGTTATTATATTTTGATGTATTGTTTCGTATTATAAGTTATAAATTGTTAAAATCTATAAAATAAAAACCAATATATAGTTTGAGTTGTTTGGAATGTTCGTTTTTACGAATTTACCCTTGTTTTTATCGATAGCCATATTATATAACATTTTTACAAAGTAAATTATTTTTTATGTTATACAAACCACAATAACATTATTTTTTGCCCAATAACAATTCGCAGTAATATTTCACGCCGCAGTGATTTTTCATGGTACTCTATCTAATATTTTTGATTATTTTTCACATTTTGTTTTATCATGGTATAGGTTGGCCACAGAGTCGTTACCGGCGACAGAGGAATTACCGAAAAAAAGCTGCTTCTTTTCTTTTGTATTGAAAAAAGATTCTTGCATTTTTTTCTTTCATTATTTAGGTTTTTTCTTAAAAAGTGGTGGATAAAGGATTTTTTTGTCCGAGCTGGTTTTTGTTGGCAAAGAAAAAAGAAAGAATTTTTTTTAAATCATAATTTA